ATCAATCCAAAATTTCAAGCACAAACACATGTATGAGTAAAATTTGAGGTTGTTTGGATAGTCCAATTGAGTAATATGAACTGTTGAAGTTTGAAAAAAATTCATCTTAAGGATATATAAGGGTTTAAAATATTTTTATCATCTTTTGGATGTTCTTTGGTATTTAAGACTTATGTATTGATGTAATTGCCCTTAAAAGGACAATATTATATATAAACTTGGTGCTTTTATATCTTGAGACTTGATTGAATAATTAATGGAATTCAAAAGTTCAACGCTTTTTTGAGGCAAACTCTCTCTACTCCAATAGTGGACCATTCAATTTATTATATTAAAAACCTATAGTCTGGATATGATGGATTTCAATTTGCAACAAAAAATAGACATTTGACCATTATAAAGATACCTTCAAGCTTGGTTCAAATATACATGCTACATTATGAAGCCACCAATTCTATGGCTCATATACAAAGTGCTATGAACTAGATTTTGAAGGAATTTGTGTTTGAGAAGACCATATCATATGTAGATGATATTCCAATTAAGAGATGCAAAGAAGAAGTCGAGGATGAAGCTAAAGATAATATTGGATATAAGAGTTTTATTAGGCATCTTATTAGAGATATAAAAATGATCCTATAAAGGCTGGAAGATATAAATATAACCTTCTCTATTAACAAATCAAAACTTGGAGTTAGAAGAATTGTTGTAGTGGAACATTTATATAAAAATTATAAAATAAAATAAATACTATTATAAGAATGAAGCCTTGTAAGAGCATTATTAAGGTTTGGAGTTTTTTAGGAGCTTTTGTTTTCTATCATATCTTGATTCTTCATATTTTTCATATTTCAAAATAATTATATAAATTTTTAAGAGAAAAAAAAAAAAAAAAAAAAAAAAAAAAAAAAAAAAAACCCAAACCAAACCAAACCAAACCAAACCAAACCAAACAAACAAACAAACAAATAAATATAATTCAAAAAAAGAGCAAGAAGAGGCTATAAATGATTTAAAGAAAATATTAGATTTGTCATCCATTTTAGGGTAGATTAATTATGAAGAAAATCAATCTATGATAATTATAGTTGATATAAGTCTCATTTCCTTTGGTTGGACTATTAGGCAAGGAGATAGCAATAATAGGAGATATGCTATTTAATTTAGAGCTAAAATTCTAATTGAAACATCAAGAACCTATCTATAAATGAAGAAGGAGCTTTAGAGAGTAGTTACGATCCTAAAAATATAAAATAACTATCTTATAGGGATACATGTGGTTTTTAAGACAAATGATCTATTTTTATTTCAAATTATTTCAAATTGTACAACCCTTAATATTACTATGTTGAAATGGGTGGCTTATATTGAATCTTTGAATCTAATTCTAAAACACATAAATAAAATAAAATAAAAATATAATTACACATATGTTGTCTAAGGTTAGGTTTAAAGATGAAGAAAGTATGGTATCATGTGAAGATAGTGAAAATAAAAGTAAACAAGGTTGTATTTACTTGCATACCTATGCTATTGGAATAAAGGATGAAGATACACTACCTTTTGAAAGGAATTTATATGAGGGCAAAATGAAGAATATTGAACTTTACTTTAGCACCTTGAAAAGACAAGAAAGTGGGATTGACAAGGATTTTAAAGAAGTTGATACAAATCCTATGGTTGTCTTTTAAAGAATGGTCTTTTGAGAAAGAAATAATAAAAATAAATAAATAAATAAATAAATAAAATGATGGATTTCTTCTAAGAGTAGTGGAGAATTCTTTCACCATGACTCAAGTTCTCAAAAAATTCCATGATGTGAATTGGTTGAAACACAAAGGAATCTAAGCTATTTATATCAAGATCAAAGAAAAATATTGGTGGAAGGAATTCTACAAGGATGTGAAGGACTTTGTAGGACCATGCCAAGAATGTCAGTTCCAATCAAAAATAAGATATCATGATGAACTTTATCCAACTTATCTACTTTCTTTATATTTTCAATGGATGATAGACTTTGTTGCAATGTCACTTAGAATATTAGACATGAATTACTTAGTTTTGATTTGAAAAGAATTCTCAAACCATGTAGGAGGTAGGGCTTTAAAGACCAAAGAAATTGAAAGGATTTATAGGTTCAACCATGAAGATATCTTTAGTAGGTATGGATGCATAGGAAGGATGAGGGCTAACAAAAGAGAATTAGATGCTATTGAAGCTAAAAGTTTCTTTGATAGATACAATATTGAATTAAAATGAACTATGACATATAATTTAGAAGCCAATAGAAAGATTGAGTAAGGACATTTTTGAATTGTCCATGCCTTAGTTAAAGCTTTCAAAAGAAATTCTAAGAAATAATCTAAATTATTATCCTTTGCTTTGTAGGCAGATAAGGCAACTCTTAATATTATAACTAAATATATGCAAATAGAATTAATAATAGGACAAAAATCCCTCATGCTAATTTAAGGATCCATTTCTTCATAGATATATCTACTATAGAAAGATCACATTTTTAAAGAAAAAATTCTATAACTTCACATTATTCAGATGGATAAAATGTTTAAGGATCATCTTCTAGTGATGGAAAGGCTAAAAAAAGGAAGATTGGTTAATAAGGATGGATTTGATGGAACACATCATCTGAGGTTGAAGTCAATTAAAAGAGACTAAGTGATGATATTTGATAGCTCATTAGAACATCAACATAATGCACAAAGGAACTTTACACAAAAGTAGTTAGGTCCTTATGTGGTGGTTAAGGTGCATGATAAGACAACCTATTCATTTCAAGAATTAGATGGGATCATAATAAAAACACCAATTGTAGAAAAAAAGATAAAAGTATTTAAGACAAGAGATGCCAAATTTTCAACAAAGGATATGGAGGAGCATTCATTTGATCCAAAATGGAACTTAGAACATGGAGATGATGATTTAGAATTGGAGATGGAAAAAAAATGAACAAAAAAATGAATTTTGGCATATGCCAAAAGATGTGTAGACTTGAGGGAATGGATGACATGATGTAAATATTTATAGAATGTAAAAAAAACAGACCAAGTCATATATTATTAGTTTTTTTAAAATCATAGAAATTAAAAAGGATTTTATACATTTTTACTAACATTTTGGGTTTTTAAAAGGATCTCAGTTCCTTTCGAAATAATGTTTTACTATTATTGTATGTTTCATTTCCTTACCATTATGTTTACAAGGACTTCCTCGTATTTCTTATATTTTTCTCATAATTTTTCTAAACTTTTGAAGGTTAGTTTGGGGTTTTTTAGAAATTTTCAATTTGTAAATAAAAAGGGGGGGGAGGGGGGTAATAAAGGTGTAATCGAACTTTTAAGTTCCGATTTAAATTGTTTTGAAAGATTTCCGTAAAGGAATCTTGTGAAATTTGGCGGCTGCCATCAAGGCGGCAGCCAATTTGACAGCTTGGAGAGAGGAGAAGCGGACACAAAGAAGACAAGGAGAGGCGGCCCTGGGAGCAGTTGAAAAAATGAGGAGGAGGGAGCGGAGGGAGCGAAAGTTTTTGGAGGGCAGGCAACGATAAGTCTCCCTCGTCAGAGTCGCTTGAAAAGGTGGTTACACTATACTGAACAAAGCTGCGTACGAGGATATCTTACGCCATCAAACGCTTTCCCCACCCGAACTCTCATCATATCTTGCAAAAGGTCCTCCAATCTCTCGCGCTCTTCCATCTGCGACTCCTTATTGTTGCTGCGCTTCGCAAAGCCGAAATCAACAAGGCGGACAGAAGGCTGTGTACCCCGCACAACCATAATGTTCCGCGCCTCAACATCCCCATGAAGTAACTTACACTTGTGGACAGCATCAAGCCCCTTAAGTGCCGCATTGGCCACCTCCTCGGTCACTGTTCCTGAGAACCAAAGGCAATACATTGAAACGTAGATAAGTGCCTACTCTGCCTGTTGATTGTAGAGCGCCACAGATACTGTTCCGGCACCATGATTAAGCTGCAAGAAGCCCTCGGGAAAGGAGGAAGACGACCACACCCCCCATTTGCTGGTTTCAAGAGCTTATTACTTACCAGGTCCGAGTGGACTGCCATCGATCAACTCTGTCGCTATGAAAACAATTTGGCCATTGGCTGTGGTTCCAAATCCTACTAATGGGGGCACGAATTCCCCCCAATACTTCTGCAGCTTTAGGTAGGCGTCCACCTCGTTCAGCAGAGCCTGTACAAAGCACGGCCAGAAGACGGTACATACACAACAAGATCAGAAGCCGGTAAGGTGTCGCAAACTGCATTCACTTCATCACAAAAATGCCCTCATGTTGCGTCTAGCAAAGACTGCCTGCTACAAAAGCAATCGCTGGCAGGACCACTCCAGGTCAGCCCCGATTTAGACCGGGCCATAGTGAACGTTTAGACGGGCGCGCAACAATTCCACATCACAACTCCAGCTCACCTCTGCACGCTCCGAATTGCGGGGAGCCAACTTCACTGCAACACGACGACCATTCAAAATGCCGCCAACCACGGAGCCGCTCCATCCCCCACTGCTGATGGGGCGGTCGTCCAGATGCAGGTCCGGCGCAGGAATCTCCTGCAATTGGTTCTGTGTCGCGTTTGAGGATCCCCTTCGAGTCCTGTACATGCACTTGCCATCATTCCACCGTTTGTTCTCTTCTATGTATCCATGACAAAGAACATGTCAATGTTTGGGTAGCTGGCTAGACAGGTTACCTAGCTGGAGACGTTCTGTAACCACCAATTTCGCGCTCGTTTGGTTTGTAGGTCCTATCCTCGTCTTCATCATCTTTAGAGCCGCTACTGGGACTGGCGCAAGGGGAAACCTCCCAGCTCCAGGGACGCTCACCCTTCCTGGGTAAAACATCAAACTCACCGCGGGCATCAACAGCAGAATTGACCAAATAAGCAATTGCAGCAGGTACAGGCGGTTTCCGGTCATCCAACTTGAACCTGTTGAAATATAGAGGCAGCCACCATGATCCCTTTTGCAGAGATACCAGTTCTGGATATCGGTGAGAACGCCATACCCAACCTTCGCCCTGCAACTCGAGGGAAAAGAACGTAGGATGAGGACCACCTCACACTACTCATCAGCTTCTCATCTGTAGACCATTTCAATTTAAGACACGTCCCTGTGGATACCACGATTTGAAATTGCTGAGCACTTCGAACTCCAGGAACATCTGCTTCCTAAATATCTTGCGAGTAAACCTCACAACCTCAGTACTAAAAAGCAAAAAATCCGCCGGAAGCCAACGGTGAGGGGGAAAACGGGGTGCCTGTCGGGGCCCCTTTGTTTTCTGAACGTAAACCATGGGATGCGCGAAAAATTACACAAAAAGCATGATGGAACAACAAAGGAGTGTAGACAACAGCAAAGACTAGCTGAACCTGCCTGAAGAATAAAACCAGGTTAGAGCACCAAAAACCTGCCCAGGCAAAACGAAGTTTTGCTAAACAGGACTGCCCTTTTGCTGAAATATTATGACAAAAGGCAGATGTAGACCTGGCGACACTGAGCTCTGAGCTGAGCTAGCCCCACCCGAATAATCCCGAGGTAGGTTAATGAACTGCTTACAAAACCAGGTATTCATACACCTGCAGACTGCAATTGAGAATACTCCTGGCATGTCCTTTCGAGATGTTAGTATGGCACCAGCAGTTGGGGTCGATTCCTGAGGAAATGCAGCCTCCATATCAGCAGGCTTGACAACTGAGCATCCTTAACAAATCGTGAAGACGGGAATCAACCAAAAATCAAATGAGATCTGCCGTACTGAACCTGTCTGACATGAGCATCTTGTCCACAGTTTGTAGATCGGCACGGGACATCCCAGACCTCCATTCTTGAGCTCAAGAACAGCAACGGCCTCATCGTTGGATTGAATTAACACATCCACACGAGGAGGACTGGCATAAAAGAAACACTTTTGAACGTCTCTGCCCGCGGCCTTTGATCCGTCTGTGTTCGTCGACTCTCCTCCCTCTGCTAAGGGTTCTGGTAGCACTTCAAGGTTCACTTTCGCGGCGTATGTTGCCGAGGAATCTGGCCGCTTCTTACTAACGAATTCGCAGGTTTTGTACACGACAAATTGAGCGAGGGCTACTCCACTTCGCTTTCCTGCAGTGAATACAGAGTCATCCACTTTCCGATATATACGCTTCAACTTATCCGCCTTGTTCAGATAGTGTTCGATGTCTTTCACCACATCCCAATACTCCACTCTCACGGGCGTGTACATCCGCTCCTTCTGCTTGGCGCTTGGAGGCTTGGAGTTCCCTGAGACCCACGACGGCAAGTCCTGACGTAGCCAATCAAACTCTGTGCATTTGTCTGCACATGCAATCCAGTAATTCAAATAAAAAACCAATGGTTAAACTAAACATCCAGGGGCCTCGCACTTGCAAGAGTAGCGCTTCTGCCGCTTCTCAAGATAAATTGCACCCTTCAAAACGTGCGATGAGAGATAATAGAGGTTTCTAAGTTTGGAAAAATCGGACACCTAAAATTAGTCAGCACCAAAGTTGCCAAAGAATGGAACAAAGATGTCAGGAAACACTACCTGCTATTCAAAACCCGACACCCCAGGTGATGATAATGCGTACACAACGCAGGGCAAACTGAAGCAAACTAAGTGCCAAGAATAGAGTACTATCTGACACCCTGATGGGTGAACGCAGGGAAGAAACTTATACCAGACCTGCTTATTCTGCCTTCAACCCTAATCAGTCCACCACAAAAGCATGTTCTCACAAGCGTAAGTAAGCATACTACCCTAAGCAACAAGTAGGCATACAAGAGCACACAAGAATCATCTGACAGATCCAGGATCCAGATTCTTTCTAAGATTACACACCTGACGATGCCGCCGCTGCTTGCAAAGACCGAAGACTGACTACCTGTTGATCGCGGCTGCTAATCTGTGAGCCAAGGCTGCTAATCTGTGAGGTAAGGCTGACTATCTGCTGATCGCGGCTGCTAATCTGTGAGCCAAGGCTGACTATCTGTTGGCGTAGGAATTGCAGCTTTGCTTCAAGAGGCTTTTTCGCTTTATCTCCCGAAGCAGCAGCAATCTCCGATTCCACAACTCTGATCTCCGCACTAAGCTCACTTATCTCCGCTCTGAGCTCACTTATCTCCGCTCTGAGCTCTGATTTCCGCCCTGAGCCCTCTTATCTCCTCTTTCTTCGCTCTTATCTCATGTTCCGTCGCTCTTATCTCCTGTTCCGTCGCTCGTATCTGGTCTTGCAGCGCATCCTCTAGATCCTCCCCCTCACCGACGACCTTTCGCCGACGACCTTGGTCCGTCTGAAGCAGGAAAACCCAACAGTACGTGCTGCTCAATACCTCAGCAAAAATACTGCTGAAAACCCGAGCTGAAACCACAACGGAACCCCGATCCGAAATCCACGTTAGAATCTAAATTGCGCATACCTAATGAAGCCCAAACGTTTCAAGAACTCACCTCATCAGGAGCCATCGCCTCCATAACTTGAAATCGCTGAGGGCGTGCTAACTCCTGCAGAAAAATGCCGGAAAAGAACGGAGGGAGCGCAACCCCCCGGGGAGGGGAAGGGAGAGAGAAGCAACCGAAACGGAGAAATGAGAAAAAGGATGTGCCACCGAAAGGAGGGCAGGAAGAGGGGTGGAAGCAGGCAGACGAGAGGAAGAGGGCAGAGAGAAGGCCGCAATGAGGAGGATGGAGAACGCAGAGAGACACGGCCTCGCACAGCAGAGACAGGCAAATCATGGAACCCTGGTTCTGCACACAACCCCGGGCCCTGAACACTAACTCGGCCGCATTTGTGGCAGTTAGTCAGGGCGGGCCCAACCCCACCGTGGCCCGCCCTCAGCACTGAGTCCCATTCGCGTGTGAGATTTCGCTGCGGCGGGGCCCGCCCCACAATTGCCCGCCGGGCAGCCTCTGCTGCGCCGCTCCACCGGCCCCCAGAAGCCCATGCCCCACCGCCCCGCCCGACCCGCTCACTCTCCTGCTTGCTTCCATCGCCTTGCTCGCTCGCGCGCCTCTTTATTTTCGTTTTGTTCTGGATCGAGGAAGTCAGAGTTGAACCTCACTCTCCATTCTCGGCTCCAGCCATTCTTCTTACTTTCGCTAGAGGACTGGCTTTACTTGGTTTTATAATTTGGAAAAGCTGCGCATGATATCCACTTGTGAAACCTGATTGGTTTTCTTTAAATTGAGTTGGGTTTACGCTGCTTCAATTGGAAAGTGAAGTTAATTGCGATCTCTCCAACCCCAGCTCCTGAATGTTTATTTTTACTTTTTTATGTTTTTTTCTTAATAGTCTTTGAGATTCTTACAGTTGTTTGTGTGTGCCGTTTTGCAGACGAACTGATAGCTGCAACCATGGGTTTTTGTACGTTATGCTGGATAGTTACTTGTAGTGCTAGCGACAAATAAGCATTCTTTCGATTCTTCCGTCTATTTTCCTGATTGTTTTGGAGCCATATACAACTGCTTTGTTCATTCCTAGACTTAGTTCTGAGGAGCCACCAGATTTAGTCTTTTTATTGGTTTGACCAATTTTTTAACATGTAGGAATTTACTCATTTGTTTTCGTTTAGTAGCACTTAAGTTCTTGTGAGCTAGCCTTCCATTGTTTTCAGTTGTTGTTAATATTGGATTGATTCATTAGAAATGGCTGCCTTGTGTATGTATTAGTTATATCAACTGCGGGGTTTGCGTGTTATAATTTGGCTTAATTTAGAAATTCTTATTTTCTTTGGAAGGTCTTGGAGAATTTCAGCGTGGTTTAGTTTTCAAATGGTACCACCAAGTGAATTTTAACTACTTTGAAAGCGGATGGAGTGAAGATATTATTTAGTGAAAATTTCAGTCTTTACAGAATCTAGAATACTGTCTACTCTTGGAGATTATTATTCTGCTTACTTCCATCACACTAGATCTGCAGAGTAGTCGACTTTTCGGATGCCAGAGGATGAAGGGAGCAGAGTTACGGAACCCATGCCGATCTCTTCATGACGACAAGCTTACTCGTTGTAGATGAAGGGTCGTGAAGAGAACTAACGACGCTTCTCTCGCTGTTCTTTCATTAGTCGATGGTGATAACATGAATGCACCCTTTTGCAATGCATAAAAAGTCATGAAGGAATCGAGCCTCGTGAGTTGAGTCCATAATCTAAATGGGAATAGGCAAAACAGTCGAAGCATAGAGGGTCACCTCATCAAGACTAAATTGTTTTCTTAAGACTATTTACTCCTCCATATTGCGCTTTGTTGCTCTTCCTTGTAGCTGTTCTGTTTTATTTATCAGGTTGAGTACTAAGAAGATCTGGGGATTAGCATTTCACTTTTTGCTGCGAATTCAACTTGCGACTCTCAACACCAACAGCAGCTTGGAAAGTGTAGCTCACAGACAATTCACATCTTCCGCAACCCGAAGTTGCTCATTTCCTCAAAATACCATACCGTTCTGAATTGCGATTGCGGGCATGTGCAACTACAAAATCACACAATACGAGGCTGATGTTGTTTGAGAAGAGCCAGCTCAAAAGATGAGGCAGATATTTCTTCTGTGTAGATGCCATGATTTTGAAAGTTGCTGGAGCAGGCCAAGCAAACATTTAAGCGCAAGCAGTGAATTGAATCCTCTGTTCGGAATCAAGTGCTCCGCAATAGTCCATGGCCTCTGCTTCCATTTTGTGGACAGTGCTGCTCATCTACTCAACAAAAATAATTCCACTGAGATGGGTTCATAAGTTTGACATCGATTCACCGAATCAGCATATTTCACGCACACTTTTTATGCACCTCATGCACGCATCTCACCCTTTTCCCGAGGTTATATCAAGTGAAAGCGATTCACAGCTTTACAAGCAGACCGTAGATATCACCAACAAGTGGCGATCAAGCACGCGGCCAATCTCGACCAGGTCCCACTCAGTCGCATCCCGGTGACAACCCAGCGAACCCACCCCACACAACACCATCGAACTCTCACTCTCGACACTGGAATCATGTGACGAATGCGTGCATAGACAAGGACTGGACCCATCGATGAGAGTCGACGTCAGGCCAGAGCTCGGTCTGAGGAGGCAGCAGTCGCACAGCAGATGACCGTGGAGCTAAATGCAACGAGCCATCCGAGCAGGTGAAAGCAACGGGCGAGGGTGACGACGACTGGACGTGCTTTTGCAAAAACAAAAAATGCTGGGAAGTTGACATGGGCGTGTGCAGCCATTCTCTGCTTCTTTTCGCCATCGCTCCATCTACGACGACGAATACGATGAGGAGCAAACTAGACCAGAAGTAGAGTATCCACAAACTTGTGACCGATTTCTAGACATCGGTATCGGTGTTTGTGCATCGTTGTCGGCGTGTTTCAATCCGTTCCGCCGTGTGTGGATGGATCTACCGACTTTATGTGTGGGTCCTTGTTGTAAGCTTAGGAAGTATATGTGAATGTTTTATTCTTCTTCTTCTTCTTCGATGTAATGCTTGACAACCAAGTCTTTTCTGTTGTGTGTTAGTTGTGTTTCTGAAGTTCGGTTGTTGAAGATCTTTGTTATATATGTTGCTTTTTTCATAGTTTTTGTGTGCCTTCTTCGACGTTTTGAAGTTCATTGCGGTTGATGTTGTCGATACAACTATGTTTGGTGATTTATATTTTTGTACTGTAAGATTAAACTAAAAGTAAACTAATCCTGCTTTGATTGTGTTGATTGGTGTCTGATGCTCATTGTGATGATTGTACATTGGTGTGGAAAGTGTATAACTGAAGATACATTTAGAAGAAAATGGGTTTATTTAGAAAAAGCGGTGAATGCTTGAGTGGAGTGATTTGAGATAGCAGTTTTAATGGTATCTGATATTATGATTTGATACGAGTTTAAAATCATGTTATGTATAAGACTGGTTGGGGTAATTGTACAAACTGATAATCTAATGGGATTTACAATTATGTTAGAAAATAAAGACATTAATTTTATTATTTCATTCAAATATTGGTTTGTTTAGGGAAAATGCATTGATCTTGAAACATTATGTGTTTATGCTTATTTTTTTAATGCTTGAAACTTAATTTTAAAAAAATACATAGCATACCAATAAATGAATAAATGTTGGAAAACGTTTTTTTAAATTGACCATTTGCATCATAAATATTTTTTAAAATATTCTTAAAGATATGACACATAATTGTATTTTTCTCAATATCTTAATGATGCAATTTTATCAATAACTTAAATAATATTTTTTTTGTTTCCAAATTTTTCAAATTGTATTTTACAGTTTAATCAATATTCCAAGTTTAAATGTGTTTATTTAAATTTATCTTATATATATATATATATATATATATTTATATTTATATTTATTTATTTATTTATTTCCTAATTTCTGTCTCATTTTATAAAATTAAAAAAAGTACATAAATCCAAACATCTGAACACAAAAAGTGAGTAAAAGTGTGGATTGGATTCTTGAAATTGCAATAAAATAAATTATCTAATCATATATGTCAAAAATAAATAAATAGATAAAAATTATAAAATATATGTTGTCCAATCTCCTTTGATTAAATTGAATCTCTGTTAATATGTTTTGTAACTCTCTAAATTATCTCCATATAGATCTAAAAGTGGCTGAGACAAGAAATATAAAGCCTAAATACCCAATGGATTCACTCTGAAATTTGTTACTACTAACAACAAAAAAAAAAAAAAAAAAAAACAAAAACAAAAACAAAAGATTGAAAAGATTCTGAAGAATACCAATCTTATATGGACAATGAATGCTCTAAAATAAAATCAACACTATTCATTATGAGGTTCTTTGAAGTCTATTCTCCAACCTATTTTTTACTTTGATGTTCTTTAACACATTCAAAACTATTGAATATTCAAACTTAAAACATTCAAATTGTATATCCAAAAATAGCATTTAAAGAAAACAAAACAAAATAAAAAAAAATCATTAAATAAATAAACATGGCCCAACTCCCGTACAATGGATTGAACCCCCAATAATGCCTTCCAAAGTTTTTGTAAAATTGAAGTTTCAAAAGCAACCAATGCATAAGTTGTAGAACATAAATGCTTCATGTCACACCTTGACACTAGTTGTTTTAAATAACACACAAATAAATAAATTTTTATATTCTTGAAAAAAAAAAAAACTAACTAACTAACTAACTATCATTTCCATAAGTTATTACTTTTTTGTAAATACTACATTTTTTTTGTAAATCTATTTTAGAAGTTATTCGTCATTACAAGATTCTTATGATTTTGTACTATAATCTATTTTTCTCATCTAATGATATCTACTACGCATGAATTAATAATGCATAAACCTTGAACAATTAAACCCTGAATTCTGTTGAAGCTCGAGGAATTACAATTTATGAAATGCCAACAACGAAACCCTAAATTTCACGAATACAGCTCTTGGTAGGCCTCGAGACTCAATCATCGGAATTTCTATAACCTCTGCCAAAGGGCTCTCGTTCTCGTCAAGAGTGAAGTCCGGAGCCTCTATCACGAAATAACAATTGATGTTGACGCACTCTGACAAGTAAGGTAACTTAAGATGCGTGGAAAGTGGCTCCAACAGCAATAACAGCCCTCGAATAAACCGCTATTTAACTAGGCATCACGAGGACTTCAAAAAGAAAGAAAAAATAAATAAATAAATAAATAAAGGTGAACTACGCACCATGCAACCAAGCCCTAGAGCCATGGTTGGTGTTGTATGAAGATTCTGCCATTAACTCTGTTTGTTGTGAAATTCCTCAGAACCTCCTCGCT